ACTATCTTATAGAAAAATGTAGCTGAGAATATAATCTACCACTTTAATTAGATGTATATTTGATATTTTCTATTAAAATTTTTGACTTCACTTAGACATAACTTTAAATATCCATAATTATTAAGAATATAATATCAATATAAAAATCTGAAAATGAATGTCAATTATAAAACTTTATTTTTTTAATATATCCAAAACAATTGGTTTTATTATTATCATTATTGTTACTTTATTAGTACTTAATAAAGCTTTATATATACAAATGATTGACATCAATTTTTGAACTTTTTTATTTAATTGTATAATAATTATTATTTCCAAGAAATTTTTAAACATTAATAACTCAAAATATAATACATTAAAATAAATCAATTTTTTTTTTACATAGTTAAAGATTTATTTTTACAAAAAAATTTTCAATGCCTAAAACTCGTGAATATACTGAATTTGAACGTGGTGAAATTATTGGTCTTTGGAAAGGTGGTCATAGTGAACGTGATATTGTAAGCATTCTTGAATTTCCTAAAACCACTATTCAGGATACCATTGAAAGATACAAAAAAGAGAATCAAATTTCAGATGCTCCTAGATCAGGTAGACCTCCTAAATTGTCTGAAAGGAACATTAGAGAACTTGTAAAGATTGTAAAAGAAGATCGACAACAATCTTTAAGGGAAATAACTGAAAAATTTAATGATTTATCAATAGTTTCAGTAAGTTCCTATACTGTTCAGCATACATTACATAATGAAGGTTTCTTTGGACGTGCAGGAAAAAGAAAACCTTTGGTATCAGAAGTAAATCGTAAAAAAAGATTAGAATGGTGTAAAACTAGAAAAAATTGGGATTTGGAATGGAATAAAATAATTTGGAGTGATGAATCAAGATTTCTATTGTTTCAAAATGATGCACATCATTGGGTCTGGCGTCGTCCACATGAAAAATATGATGTAAATTGTTTAATTCCAACTGTTAAATCTGGAAATCAAGGTATAATGGTGTGGGGATGTTTTATTAGAAACAAAATTGGTCCTTTAATTCAAGTTTCTGGTAAAATAACAGGTTCTGTATATATAGAAGTCTTGGAAAATCATCTATTACCATTTATTAATGAATTAGATAATAATTTAGAATATGATTTTCAAGATGATAATGCACCTGTTCACCGTGCAAAAATTGTTAAGCAATGGATGCAAAATAATTCAGTAAAAAATATTCCTTGGCCAGCACAGTCTCCAGATCTCAATCCAATTGAGAATTTATGGGATGTTTTGGAAAGAAAAGTTTGTAAACATGATCCACATCCAAAAAATCTTACTGAATTAATGGCTGTTTTAGAAGAAGAATGGTATAAAATTGAACCTGTAGTTTTAGAAAATTTGGTAGATAGTATGCCTAGAAGAGTTCAAGCAGTGATAGATAGTCATGGAAATCCAACAAAATATTAATAAATCAAAAAAAATTTATATTTTAATAAATAAAATAATCAATTTTATTATGTAAAAAGTTTTTATTAATTAAAAATAATATAATAATATAAATATTTAAAGTTATGTCTAAGTGAAGTCAAAATTTTTAATAGAAAATATCAAATATACTTCTAATTAAAGTTGTAGATTATATTCTCAGCTACATTTTTCTATAAGATAGTTAGTATTTATGATAAATATTCATTGAAATCGATTGACCTTACGATCATTAATTTGATTTGATATTTTTAGTTAATTTTATTTAATACAAAATTACTGCACAAATAAGTATCCAATTTTAACAAATAAGATATCATATGATAGCTCTAAATCAGGAGATTTCTTTAAAAAAAAATTTTATATAATTTAAATTGTTCATTGTGTTATAATTGGCATTTCAAATTATGAAACAGATTAGCAAAAAATTCGTAACGATCTTGAAATCAAATTATTGTCGATCATTTTACCATTTAAAGAAAATTAAAAATAGTTCGCTCATATAAAACTTTGTTTTAAATTAACAAAATGTTAAATTTGATAATAAGTAATCTTAAAGATAATATTATTGTACATCTACTGTAAAACGTTTAGACCTGCATCATTAGAATTGATGGAATAATTAACGTTTAAACTTTAAAACGTTTATCGCAATTATTCTATCAATTATAATAATACAGATCTGAAACTCTTAAAATAGATGCACAATAATGTTCTCTTTATGTTTACTTAGTACTACTTTTGACATTTTATTAGTTAAAAATGAAGTTTAGTAGGCGAAGACTATTATTAATTTTTTTTAAACAGACGAATGATCAACAGTAATTTTTGATCGTTTTAGTTGTGCCAAAGTAAAGTAAAGATTTTACCTAGAAAACATCAAATATGCTTCTAATTAAAATTGTAGCATATATTATTAGTTACAAATTCTTATAAGATACTTTATAGTTACGATTAATATCCATTGAGATCGATATATATTAATTTTATAGTAAAAAAATTCGATTTTTTATTAATGTTATTTGAATTAAAATTTCTTGACGGCTATGTATCAAAAATTAATAATTAAGGTATTATATGAAAGCCCTAAACCAGGGGAATTAAATAAAAAAAAGTTGACTCATTTTTATATGTTAGATCACGAGTTATTAACGGATAAAAATTTACTTTGTAATTAATAAATTTTAAGTGGTCGGATACTTTTGCTAGGTGAGTGTAGGTGGTTTGGATTTCGACTAGTGGATTGCTTTGCTTTATTTTTAGGTAATTATTTTTATTTTTTTGTTTTCATTTATTATTATTACTTTTTGTATAATGATTAGTACTGATCTGAGCTTCTTTTCATTTTCTAGATTTCGCATTTCATTTTTAGTTTGCTGGATTTGATTTTCATTCTTGGTTCAACCTTGGATTCATACAAGGTTGAACCAGTGAATTGGGATTTTAACTAGTAGTACAATTTTCTTTATTTTTAGATAAATGTTTTATATTTTTATTATTTGTTTTTGTTATTTTTGCATAATTCTTAGTACTGAACTAGGTTTTTTTTTTCATTTTCTAGATTTCTTATTTTAGTTCACTGGATTTATTTTTTATTGATCCAAACCTTGAACAGCATACAAGGTTGAGCCATGTGAATTGGAATTTCAGCTGATGATTCGCTTTACTTTATTTTTAGATAAGTATTTATATTTTTCATTGTTTGTTTTTGTTATTTTGTATGATGCTTAGTACTGAACTGAGCTTCTTTTTGTTTTCTAGATTTATTATTTTATTTTTTTATTATTTTTAGTCGCTGGTTTTGATTTTTCATTAGTTCCAATCTTGGATGGCATACAAGGTTGAATTGAGATTTCAGCTATTGGTTGACTATTCTTAATTTTTAGGTAATTATTTTATTTTTCATTATTTTTGTTCACTGGTTTTGAATTTCACTAAATCCAATCTTGGGTGGGATAAAATGTTGAACCCAGATGAATTGGGATTTTGGCTGGTAGACCATCTTTCTTTATTTTGTGGATCTTTATTTTATTTTTTT